AAGATATAATGGAGGAGATATCTGCCCAGGCGACTGGAATTAATATTTAAATGGCTAATTATGAATCAACACCGCTGTTTTTTTTTATACAATTAGTGTGTTTTTCCCCAAACCATTGTAAGCACCACCCATATTTGATGCGCCACCTCTAGAATTGCCGATATATTTTCTGGCATCAATGTCCATTCTCTCTAAGAAGTTGATGACTATATTGCACATACCGAGTCCAGTGGAATCTGTTCCAGATAAAATACCTATAACTCTTTCGTATATTTTTTCTTTATAAAGATACTTAATAACAATTAAACATTGGTCCATTTGATTAATGTGAATAATAGCGTAAATTTGAAGTCACTTTGTCCTCTCCAAGCCAGTCCGTTGCCACTCTCCCCATGTCATCTTATTTCATCTAATAATGCAACGTTATCACAATAATAATGCAATTTTTTTGGCATCTAATGGAACAGTTTTATTTCATATATATATATATATAATTTGGTCAACAAAGCGCACAATTATAGTTGGATCATTAACAAAAACCTGCCAATAATAAACACTATTAACAAATTAACAATTCATGAGATTAACTGCTACGATTTTGAAAATATTTATACTTCTTTACCTTTTAAAGAAATTTTCAACAGTATACTAGAAATTCCCAAATTATTTCTACAAGTTTACTCAATATTTAGCAATGAAAATTGAAAATCTTTTTTTTCAATGTATGTTTTTCAATAATTTTACTAAGTCGCACAATAATATTTTTCTACAGTTCAGAGGAATTCCCATGGGCTCTAACAGATCAACCCAGATTTCTAATTTATTTCTCTTTGCCCAAGAGTATAAATTTCAACTAATATTAAAAGAACCAGAATTAAAACTGTTTGCTAATACCTAGAGGTACGTAGATGATATTATTACTTTCAATCAAAATAATAGGTAGAGAAACAACCCAGATGGCTCTAACAGATCAACCCAGATTTCTAATTTATTTCTCTTTGCTCAAGAGTATAAATTTCAACTAATATTAAAAGAACCAGAATTAAAATTGTTTGCTAATACCTAGAGGTACGTAGATGATATTATTACTTTCAATCAAAATAATAGGTAGAGAAACTAAAAATTTACCATAACGTTCTCACTCTTAACCCTACTAACGCCGATCAACATGTTATAGACTATCTTAACTTGCAAACTATTAATCATCGCACTATTAATATTTTTGACAGAAGAAAAGTTTAAGTTAACAATTATTAAGTTAATCAATTGCAGCTCCAATATTTCTAGAAAAGTATTAGAAACTACCTTTATCAGTCAAGTTAAAAGGATAAGAAATACTTGTACAGACATTCAAGACATAAGGTATTTCTCCCGCTTGCGTAGTGTGCCTTCGTGGTTTAGTGGTCAGCACCCTGAGCTGGTATTTCAGAAGTCCATGGTTCGGTTCCCGGCGAAGGCAGTTGCATATTTTTCATCTTTCCTGCTTACAATAAACCTAATGTCTCTACAAGTGGCGCTCGAACTAAAAGGGTTGTGGATGATAATTCTCCGTACCCAAGATTTGGCGACTAGGTCCCCTAAAACCCTAGTCGCCCTTTAAAAAGGGGAGTATATAAGGTATTTCTCCCGCTTCCCTAGCGTGCCTTCGTGGTGTAGTGGTCAGCACACTGAGCCAGTATTTCAGAGGTCCGTGGTTTGATTACCGGGGAAGGCAGTTGCATATTTTTCATCTTTCTTGCTTCCAATTAACCTAATAATTCTACAAAGATATTAAAAATGAAATCTCCTTACTAGTTAGCATTCTCAAGGTAGCCAAATTTATTAATTTTTGACTCAAAGAGGTAGGCATTAATTTTAATTTTACTTTAGGGGATATGAAAGCATTATCCGAAAGCTTTAATAAGGAGGGTAAAGTTGGATGGCTTAGACTGGAAAATTTGTACAAATGCAAAATAGTAGCATGTAAAAATATAAAATAGTACGATGTAAAAATGTAAAATATTCTCTATTTCTGGCTGCTATGCTTTTACTAAGAGACATTTATTTCCTTAAGTCGCAATTACAGTTCGTTTTGGTTAAAAATTTTCATCTTAGTCTTATTTTTCTGTTTTTAGAAATTTTAGAAATTGATTTACATACTTTTTAAAACGAGCTTACTTACTCAAATTAATACAGTATCGCACTAGCCATGTCATAGCTTACTACCAGTTTTTCACCTGCTTTATAATAATAATAATCTTACCGTTCTCTTAAATCTGGCAACTGCAGACAAACATGCCTGCTCTTGGAATTAAGGAAAAATCCCGTACGCTAGATAGTTTAACTGTATGTTGAACTAAAGTAAGTTTATGGAAGTTTCTAAGAATTTTTCTGGCCTATTTTATTGTCATTTCAAATATGACAATTTGATTTAGTAGAATACTTTAAAAAAAAATTCTGGCCTATTTTATTATCATTTTAAATGTGACAATTTCATTTGCTTGAATAATTTTCTAGCATTTCTGTAATATAGGGTATTCTTTTTTTTTACACGTTTTGATCTCATTGATTGGCTACTTGCGTATAGTTCTCACTTTTTTACATTTTAAAATTAATATTTTAAACTGAGTTACATCGTGTAGGGGAATTCTTGACATGCATATGAGTTAGCTAATTTGGAGGGAACTGAAAATTCAACTATAAAAATTTTTAATCCGTCTAGCAATATATGTAACTATTCCAGAAATAACTGTACACTGCACAGTGCCGGCGCAAATCAAATATGGATGTAAAAAAACCAATCTACGAGCCATGTTTTGCTTTCAGTGGCAAATAATCGCATGCAATGGTAAAGCTCAAGTAAGAAAGAAAGCAAAAGACTGATAACACGGACAGTTCCTTCCCGAACATTCTAGTCTAGTATGTCTGTAGTATTCCAATATAGGATACTTCATGCTTTAGGCCCGCTGCGGTGAACTGTAGACGACGGCATCACCGTGAGTTAGTGGACTTTGCAAAGTTCGTTATGGCAAAAAGCAGTAAAAATCATTGTTCAGATTAAAGAGAAATGTACTTAAGAAGAGTCTGTTCTTTTTTAAATCCAAATTTGAGTAATTGCCAATTAGTGGCATAAGATTGTTAATAACACCTACAGCTTTGCTGCGAACTTTATTGACATGATCATTTCAGTTCATTTTTCATTTAATGTGATTCTTAGATTAACTTTACTGACTCGAAGGATCTCGAAGTTAAAGAGGTAATGTTCTCTGCTGGCAGGCGTGTTGACCCCTTTTCTGCGAATTATTAACAAATGTGATTTGTGTGCATTACTGGAAAAAGCTGGGATTCGAACCCACCATCTCTCGCATGGGAGAAATACGCTTTACCTCAAGGCCATACTTTTGTCAAAAGAGATAAAATTAGTAGGACTGAAACTCCCGATCTGACGAGGCGGAGGCGAGTGTGTAATTGCGCTACGAGAACACATTCTTTCTACTGATAATAAACTACTCATTTATAAGGCTACGTTGTGCCTCATTATTACGTACACATGCCCGGTCTGGTGTTACGTGGGTGATATTTCTCTCAAAAAATTGCAAATTTTGCATAATTTTACTTTAAGGCAAGCTACGAAAAGCCCGTGGCTACAGATATTAAAAACGATGCTACGGAAATTAGAAACGACGCTATCCATATTGAATTTAAGATTATCAATATCCATATGTATGTAAAATATAAAAAAAATTGTTCTATGCTTTGCTCTATGCGAACAAGCAACCTCTAATTAACTTTCCGCAATTTCAGGATTTTCCCCCTAGACCAGTACTTTGCCAAAATATTACATGTATATGGAAAGAATTACGAAAAGATTTTGCAGAATTGCGTAGTTAAATGATACATGCGCAAAATTTTCTTGCGAAATCATAATTACCAAGCCGTGAAAATAGAAAAATATGTATTGCTATATATTAAGGCTCACTTAGAGTGTTTATTTTTCCCGGCATGCATTTTACATCCAGATTGTACTTCAGCAGATCAGAACCTCTTCCAGCCTCTACGCCAGTGGATTTATCTATTTCTTTTTATGCAGCGTACAACGGCAGGGTCATGTGGCTTCGTTGTCAACTAGTCTCTTTTCAGAGTGATCTTAATATTATTTAGCTATTACCAGTTGAATGAACTTTCGTTCTTAATTTAAATATGTGCAGGATTACCTTGAAATTCACCACCACTACGCTATACTACCTAAACTCTCAAAAATCGCTGACAAAAGTTATCCTGAGATAGCGCTACCACGTTGGGATAGCGCACCACACATGCAAAGTGCGTTCGACTAGGGCCCATACCACACTAGTATTTGGTTCAGACGGTTTCAGACATTTTTTCTGTCTGGTTTACTATTGAAAGAAAGACTCACGGTTTTTTCCTTCCTTTCGAAAAAGTTGTTCGTTTTCATCCAATCAGCTATCAGCTTGTTTGTAATAGAGAACCAGTTTCCCCTTTACATTAAGGCTCCTCTAGCCTTAATAGCCTCTAGGCTACATAGGAGCCTTACTTTACACGGTAACCCCAAAGTGATCTGTGGTGATTGGCTCTTGTGACAAAGCAGAAAAATTGTTCTAAACAGTTCTTCTTCCGAAACAAACGGGCGTGTGATAGCAGCTAAGACGATGTCGGACATCTAGTAACAGCCATCCACGGAGTACAATGAATATTATATTTATATATAAAATTATCTCACACAGCAATTTTTATGGCTGCACGGAGTATAATATATCATTATACCCCATGCAGCCAACATATTGCTGTGTGAGATAGTTTTATCAGATAACTACACATTGTAAAAGGTTTTGTTGCTGAGGGAAAATGGAGTAATCTCAGCATGCTTATATCACAAAATATTTCCTGTTATTTTTCTTTGTGATGTGCCATTGTGACACCTGCGTCTTAGTTGTGCTGTCCCAGTGTTTCCGCAAATCAACAATGCGATTTGATCTCCGTCAGATGGCGAGCATTTCCCTCCTAATACGCACAGAAGTAATATAATCGTAATCGTGTGATCAGAACATATGATTCGCGCTGTTTGTGTAGTAGTTACATTTTTCTGCAACGTGTTTTAAAAAATAAATTACGTTTTTTGAAAATGTTTCGTCTGCTTCGCAGTGTTGCTAACAAGGTATTACGTGCAGTATGTACATAATCTCAAAATTAGGAATTTCCCATTTGTCACCGTTATGGACCGGTAGTTTACTGTATGCATTATTATTTGTGTATTGCTTAAAAAGCAACATTTTTGTGCAATAACCCTCGCGAATTCAGTTTTAACCCTTTGACTACCAATTTATCGTGGAATATATGCAGCTCACTTTATAATTTAGCATAAATACTTAATTGTTTAAAAATTAAATTGCATTAAACACGCAAAATATAAATTATTTTCATCTAGTCTATGAAGTATTTTATCCTAATAATTTATTTTAAGTATGTTTACCATGTAAAAGAAGTTTTAGAAAGCGCGAATTTCGTAATGTATGTTTTTTTTTTTCGGATATGCCTTCCTGTAGCTGTTATAACCAGGGGAAAAGGACAGATAAAGACTTAAAAAAGCTCTAAAACTACTTAAAACCACTTAAAAAGATTTTGGTACCCCCACTTATGTTTACGCCAGTTTTTCATCATTCCTTCTCTGTTTCGGTTTAGGTTCATCTGCAACCTGCATTCCATAATAAAACTGGCACTGAGAAATTTTTTTGGTGCTCTCTTTCCTTAATACTTAACGCACCTTTTTGTGGTGCCCATTTTCCCCCGATTCTCTTAAGTATTTGGTTATATTGCTTAATGCCTTGATATAATTGCTTATCCAGCCTTGATATAACAGGTTATATCTACTTGTTATAATATGCATGGCTGTCGTAACTGGATGTTGTAACTTAAAAAAAAAAAAAACTCGTCCTGGAATATGTTTTACTTGTGTATGAATTTTAATCCATTTTCTTATTAGCAAGTAAATGGCTTGACTTGCTGACTTCTTGCTTAGTATTTATTGTTATGTGGAAGGTGTATATAAAATTTTAACTTTTTAGTACCAAAATGTTGGCATTCCCGAAAGGTTTAGAATACAGCTTATTTTAAGCACTTTGTAATAGTTTTTTTATCTATGAATAATATTTTACATATCTGCTTCTTTGTGCTGTCTTACTTCCTTGTATGTGTAAAAATGTGGCTGAGATGCTAAGGAGATGTGCAAAGAATTATACCGTGTGGTTTTGTTGAATTAATTTTAGCTGGATTCTTGTAGAACTAGACTGTCTGAAAACTTATTTCATATGCAATTCAGGCATTTAGTACATTATATGTTACATGCAGTACTGAAGGCTCTCGTGCTGTCTTTTACTCATTTTTGCAAATTTTCTGTCTAATTTTTTATTTAGAATATTCTTGACCAATATAAGCATTTGTTCAGTATAGTAAACATTCTAACTTAGTGTGCATTTTAATTTCTTCTCAAAGAAAGTCTTTTTTTTTTTTTTTTTTTTCTTCACTTGTTTAATTTATTTTGCTGTCATTCTTTTGAGCCTTTTAATTAATCCTATGTTCAAAATCAAGCCATTACCTTTCGGTGGCAATAAAAATTAAATAATTAGCTTGTAAGTAATACACTCATGTTCATAAATTAAAGGTCTGATACATTTTGTTAGAAAGGGGAAAAGGTAAAATCCTAAGAGAGGCCACACCCTTGACAACAAACCGGAAAAATGCAGAATCGCCCACTGCTTTGCGCGTTTCTCAAATTTGCCAACTTAAAAATAACAAGTCAAAGAATTGCACAAACTTGGTATCCATGTACGCATTGACCTGTTTTCGCTTTAAAAAAAAATCGGAGAATTTTGCAAACTTGCCATTCCACACTCCCTTGACTTTGTGCGTGTACACATCGATACGCATCATATAAGTGGGCGCGCCAAAGATATGGGGCTCTGCTAGGATCCAACCGGGGAAAAAATGGTCTTATGTGAAAGCATTTTGATATAAAGACGAATTTTCAACAGTCGATGATTGATATACGTTTTAAATTTTAGCAGATAAATGCTGTAGAACTGAAACTTTTGCTTAATCATTCATAAAAAGCAAAACAGGCTGATGGATAAATACTATTGAATAATTTCAATATATGTGTGTGTTGTTTATTGAAATTTAAGGCTATCATTAAGAAATGAAAGCATTTTAACAAGATGCCGAGAAAGATTTCATTCCTGCCTCATTATCATAAATAAGTCCAAGGTTAGTATACAGAAAAGGTCATGTTCTGCTGCTCCCTTAAATTCAGTTGTATATTGTTGCCAATTTGGTGACTTGTAGAGAGAAGAACAAGGATACAATTAGATTTGATTCTACAAGAAAACCAAATGAGCTATGATAAGTAGCAATGTTATTTAATGTTAATTTGGAACTGTTCTGCTATCAAGGACTAGGTTCAGAAATATATGCATTCATGTATATATGTAAGTACGAATGTATGTGTGTGTACATATACACATATATGCATATACATACAGATGCATGATAAAAATATATTGAAGGGTGCCCCTTGACAAAAATTAATGATTTGCCAGCAAGGCACAATTTCAAGATGGCCGCTACACAAAACCAAAATAAGTCAAAGAATTGCACAAACTCGTAAACCATGTACACATCGATTTATTTTCACTTAAACAAATATCAGAGAATTGCACAAACTCAGCATTACACACTCTGTGACTTTGTCCATGTAGGCATCAATCTACTTTAAAAAAAATCAGGAGAATGTTGGTATCATATAATGTTAAACCAAAGTTTCTCATTACCAAAATTGAACAAAATTTATAGCAAATCGAAGCTCAATAAACTGCATTTTAAATCACATAATAAAAAGGAAATATTGACTTGCCATATTTAAAAATTTCTGTATCTTCAGTCTGTGGCACACAAAATTCCTTAACAGCATCCAAAAACTTTCTAAAATTATTTCAACTAGAATATGCATACTGCCACATAAATTCACAAAAATAAGAGTAAAAAATGTCCTTCGTAGTGCCGGATTGATAGTTGCATTTCTTGTAACAAACCCCTTCAAAGCCATCTGAATGAGCTTTATGTTCGACCATATGCATTTGCTTCTTACAAACAGGACACTTATGATGACCAGTACGTAAAACTTTATTTACAGACCAATCAATTAATGTTTTTTTTTCCCTTTTTGTTTCAAATTATACAGAAACTTCACATTAATCTCATCACATAAGCCATTTTAAGGTGTACAGCATAAAATAAACAATGTTCTTCCTAACTGACATCCAATGCAGAAATAAATCCTTACAAACCCATCAGTTAAATTCACCGCAGCCACATCATAAACGAATTTCCATAACACTGAACTACTCAGGTTACCATAAATGAAAATTACATGAGGCTTAGCACAACCTTTACACAAACAACCAATGTTCAAATGTGATTTACATGCAAAGTAAGAAACTCGTTGGGCTTCTCATTTATGCACAATGTAGTACCTGAAATTACTTTTACCTGCTTTGTGTACCTGTGCTAGAATGCTTATCATCTGCACAAGCAAGGATGTAGTACTTTTCATGCAAATTTGATGTTTCCTGCATGCTGCTCTCATGATGTAGTACTTTTAGTGGTCAGTAGTATATACCTGAAATTTTTAAATTATCTTTATGAGTTTTAATACTTAATTTAGGTTGAAGTTATTTGGATAAGGTATTAACATAAAAATATTTTTTAAAGTTTTTTTTTTTTCTTTTTGGGAAAAGGGAGTGTCTTCCTTAACTCTAATCTCTTACTTTAAAATTAGAACTTGAGATTATTTCCCACTCTCCAATTCGAAACATCAGGTGATTTGTATATTTCACTTCATGGAAAAGGTGCAAATGAAGGCTGACTTGAAATGCAGTCTCAAATGGTGTGAAAAAAAATAAATGCTGTGCGGTGATAATAATATGAGTTACATGCACTGATAGGGAGCTGGGAATGGCAGTGAAGTGCCTATTTTAAAGTAGCAGAATATAATGCTGCTTGGATTTAGAAGTAGTAGTTGCTTTAGAAGAGACTAAGTCAAATGATGTCTCATGCTTAGAATCTCAGCTTAAGGGGAGGTGACTTCCTGGGGAAGAGCAAATGTTGTAGTATGGTAACTGTGACTAGGTCTCTTTTAGTTACTGATGAGGAAATCACGTTCAGCAGCAAGTTTCAAGGCCATTTAATGTACATACTGTGGGATTTCAGCCAAGGCTAGGGGAATCCATTTGGTCTATTTCATCATTTTTCATTACGTCATAAGTACCCAAGATGAAGAATGACAACATGAAGAAATACCCTGAAAGTGAAAATTTGAGGCCTGATCTGATGTATGGAAATATAGACAAATCAAACAGTTTGCAATTATGAAAATTTATAGAACTGCATAACCGTAGCCTTGGTTCATAAATGAATTTCTTACATACCTAAAAATTCCTCACAGTATATAACAATATCAAGCAGTCATGGTTTAATCTTTTTCATATTGTCAGCTCTAAATATGTATTCATTATTTAAAGCAATAACTGTTAGTTCATCATCTCTTCTGTGGTATATTTTAATTGCTTTATTAGCTAAATAAGACAGTGTAAGTTTTGTATCTGTTTTGCTACCTCATACTGGGAGACAAAGTCTGCTGTCATCTGCAAACAGAAAATTAGGTTATTAATTATGTGTTCAGCTTAAATGTTCATAATAAATACCATTGATAATGATTTTCTTTTTATACTAAGCTCAATAAAAGTGTTATGCTGGTTTTGTGAGCATTCAAATTACTGGATGTGATCTTATGTAATAGTCTTAAATCAGCATTTATCAACTAACCAATACTTCTCGAACTTTTTTTTTCATTGCATCTATATAATAATCTGTTAAATGAATTGAGTCTGTTTTTTTTTTTTTTTTTTTTTTTTTTGTTTGTTAGTCTCTGCGTTACTTTCTAGTAGCTGATTTACTTTCTGAATATTTCCTATGCTTATGCAAATATATTTTGGCTAACTCATTCCATTCATTTCACTTCTTATTTGTGTATAGTTCTTTGACAGATAAAAACATCCAAATCTCTTGATCATATAATATAACATTGCAAAATAAATGTGTGTAAAACATTTTATATTTGGTATGTAAAAGTATACTGTTGCTTCAGTGTTTAGCACCTTTCAGAAATCTGAAGTTATGCAGTTCTGTAAATTTTCATAATTGCAAACTGTTTGATCTGTCTATATTTCCATACGTCAGATGAGGCCTCAAATTTTCACTTTCATAGTATTTCTCTGTCTTTATATTTTGTATGACATTTATAAATATCAGTATTGCATTTTAAACTGAAACAGTTTTAATTAATTTTCATCAAAAATAATTTGCTTGTAATTATTACAGATTCCTTCTACTTATCAAACTGGGATTGGTTTAGCAAGACCTAGCATTGCATGGTCAGCAATACAAGCTAAAACAATTTTTACAGGTTTGTTATAAATTTTGTATACTCATTAAAATCTAGATTGTATCCTTTAAATTTGTTAGCGATTCTTTAATTTTTTCTTTGGTTTGATTTTAGTTAATTTTGGTACTTTTCCGTTTCGCCGGCGCAAATCTCGCCAAGCAGACTTTATTGGCGACAACACAGAGCATACACATATAAAATGTTAACAAATGTTGGTTCTAAGAATTTTTTGTTTTGAGGGCATAAACATTTTAATATCGTTTAAATTTTATAAAAAGCCAATAAATAAGACAATAAATTTGTAAAAAGTCATTAATTTAAGAATTTACTGTGCTTTCATGGTACAACATCCTGATTCACGTGACTCCAAGTGATTTCATCTCACGTAAACTACACTAAAAAAAATCAATTCTCTCAGTAATTATCTACATTAATTTCAAGTTAAATCTAATTTGGAATACAAGTTTAAATGCAAGAATTATTTCAGTTCGTACGAATAGCTTACTCAGAATTATGTAAAACCGGAGTGCTTTATTTCGCTAGTGCATTCTCATTAGATTGATCTTTAGGGCATAAAATTGGACTAATCTGTTAAAAATTCTATGTAATTGTATGCCAGTATTTAAAGAAACAATGAATCTGATAATGGTTGCGACTTGTTTTGAAAATGGGCGTAAAGGCTAGCAGCGAGGGTATTCCCTTTGGCATCAGTTGTACCATTATTGGCGACTTTATCGCCTGCGCCGGCAAATGGAAAGTACCTTAATTTTTTCCTTGGGTTTTAACTTTAAGATTTTAGTTCAAAGTTATTGTAATATTAATAAAATGGTAGCTAATTTTATTTTCCGGTAATATTTTTTATCATTTTCATATATTTTTATGGTTGATCTTTGGATTATGATAACTTGGTGATTTTTTGGCGACCAACTCTGCTACAGCAACCCTCTATTTTTTTTTCGCCGCCATTTTGTCTTCACGAAGGAAAGACATGTTTCTTTTTATTTACTCAACACTTTTTCCAACTATCTACTAGCCGAATTACACTGATGCTAGAAATTTTATGTAACAAAACTGCTTAATCATGACAAATATTAACTGCAAAATTGGGAAAAAGTGCGAATCGCAAACACCTTGCGCATTTTTCAGAATAATAACATACACATAAACCATTTACACGTCGACTTATTTTTACTTAAAAAAACATCCCAGAATTGCACAAAATGACATTGCACACACTCTTAACTTTATCCATCTACACTGCTATTTTCTCATAATTACAAAAATTTGCACGAAAAATGCAGGAAAATTTTCTTATTCTTTAAACTCGATAAAAAGCACATGTATGAAATTACCTGATCGCGAAAAAGTACATACCCTTTCCAAGGATGAGCATTTCCACGTATAAAATAAATAAAATATCCAAAAGTTTTTACCTCTAAATTATCTATTATATTATAAACGTAACTAACGAATTTATATGCAAACATTAAAAATAGTTAGAAATACTTAGTGTCAAATATTTAAATTATTTCCATACAGTTTACTTCAACTGAAACGTAGCCAAATTCCTACAAACATAAATTCACAAATAACTATCATTTAATTAAAATATCACTAAACCATTACACGTCGACTTATTTTTACTTAAAAAAACATCCCAGAATTGCACAAAAATGACATTGCGCATACTATATCCATGTACACTGCTTTTTTGTCATAAATTAGAAAAATTTCACGAAAATGCATGAAAATTTTGTGAATCTTTAAATCCGGTAAAAAGAACATATATGAAATTACCTCGTCGCGAAAAAGTATATACCCTTTCCAAGGATGAACATTTCCACGTATAAAATAAATAAAATATCCAAAAACTTTTACCTCTAAATTATCTATTATATTATAAACGTCAGCACGAATTTATACCGCAAACCCTAAAATAGTTACAAATACTTAGTGTCAATATTTAAATTATTTCCATACACACGTTTACTTCAACTGAAACGTATACCAATTCCTACAAACATAAAATTCACAAAATAACTATCATTTAATTAAAATATCACTAAACCATGTACACGTCGACTTATTTTTACTCAAAAAAAAATCCCAGAATTGCACAAAAATGGCATTGCGCACACTCTTCACTATATCCTGTACACTGCTTTTTTCTCATAAATTAGAAAAATTCTGAAAATGCATGAAAATACTAAACGTATACTACTCAACTACTCAAACGTTTCCAAAATACTACAATATAACTCACAAAATCACGATCATTAAATTAAAAACACTACTTAAAATATAATAACACATACATTAATTAATAAAAATTAGATTACATCCTAATTACTTTAAAATCATTGCTAATACAATTTTTCCATAATACCACATTAATTTATTTTACTCCTACATTTAGAACATGCATAAAATAATTCCTCAATGATTAAAATACTAATTACCTATCTTCTTCAGATCTTCATTACGTGGCTGCAGTACTACGCTAATTTCTAATCCTAATCCATAGTCAACTGGAAGTCTATTCCAAGTAATAAGAAATTAATAAATTTCACCTATACTCAAACTACTTTCAGCAACCATGTCCCTTCCTTACCTCCTTTTCACAAAATGTCCATTTTTCACCATTTCTTGCACCGCCTTTAAACTTAACTGTATCCTTCCTTTCACACAATCTCACTTATTATTATTATCAGATAAACACATTAAATTTAGAATTCACTTACATAGCGCCATGCAGTCCGAAAATTAATCAACACTATTTCACAACACACAATGAAGCTTTTCCAAATTAACCTCCTTTTCCGATTAAAGACTGTAATTCGTCCATTAATGTCACGTTTCACACGACACGAATATAGCTAAATACGAAATTTCCAGATTTTCCCCCCTTTCTGATTAAACACTGTAATTCGTCCATTAATGTCACATGACATATCTCATGATCTCTCATTTCCCTCACACAAAATAATGCGTAATCGGAACTGAGTACTTCTCACATTATTACCAAAGTCCTAGGTAGTAACCTTTATCGCCTCCAAAATGCCTCCAAAATGTCGCCAAACTACCAGTTACCATATTCCAAAGATCAGCCTAAAATTCAAAACTCTCTCTGTTATAAACGTGTAGAGTACTTTTAACATAGTTCTTGATACTTTTAATAGTATTTTGTGTAATGACCAGTTCAAAGGTCTCTTCAAGTAATGTAATTTCCTTCCCACTTAAAGAGGCATACATTTTCTTACGGTCTGAATAATTTGTTACTGAAATATTGTAGTTTGAATAAATTTTTAAATTACTGGCTAGAGGAGTTCATGTATATTCGTTATTTATGTTCATTCTCTTCAACTATTTTCTGACAAATAATTTTTTTCCCCAGAATTTTCCATAAAATCTAGCTGTAACAGGACTTTCTAAGGGAAACTGGCTCGTATACACGTTACACATGGGGAAAACCACGAAAACGCCCATACAGCCAGCCCGTTCGCGGGATTCGAACCTCGAACCAAACTACCAGTGTTCAGCGACTTTACCGCTCGGCCGCTGGTGGGCCCCCATGTGCCTATGGGTTGCAAGAGGCTGCTGATTATTTTCTTTTATGTTAAAACATGGTTTCAGTCTATCAGTTGAAATTCTTTTGACAGTTCCATTAATTTCAGTGTCAAAATACTCTGTTGCTCAGTATTTGACAACATAAGGCCCAAGATAAATTGGTTGAAAAGATAAAGTGGCTACGTTATCGTAGACGAAAACATATGAGCAATTCAAAAGGTCTTTGAAAACGAATATGGTCATATTACCATGGGTAGTCATCGCAGAAGGTTTCTTGTTACGGATAATACTTTGTAGCCTTCGTACAAACTCGGGGTGGGATTGTGGGGATGAATTCTCCAGGTAAACAGGGGACTTCCGTAAAGAAGCTCAGCTGAAGAGTATCCTATATCTTCAAGTGCAGAGCGTAATTCGAGAAGAACCAAAGGTAAAGCATCTACTGAAGATTTTGCTTTGCAGTAAATGACATTTCAAGCTTGCCTTTATAATACTGTGTTGTCACTCAATCAATCCATTCGATTGTGGATGATATGCTGGTGTCCTGAATTTTTGAAAACCGAAGTATTTGCTCACAGATGAGAAGATTTGATTTTCAAACTGATGTCTTTGATCAGATGTATACGCTGTGGAATTCCAAAATGAGAAATCCAGGTTGAGATCGTCCTCTTTGCAACTGTGAAAGTTTGGAGGGGATATATGGGTGGTTACTGTTGGTGGAGATATCACAATATCGATTTGTCAGTGCCTGGAATGGAAATCTGAACCATTTTCAGCCTTGGGTTGTTTTTTTTTAAACTGTTAACTCATCATCTTGAAATTCTGCAATAGTTATGTAATCAATTGGAGATGGTGTAGAGATATTAATTCTTGAAAGAGCACGTACAATAACATTTTCTTCTCCCTTGACGAAGCAAATGTTCATTGAAAATTGAGCAATACAGTCAAAAGTCGTTAATCAGGACTCGTCAGGACTTCGGCGATTCCGGATTATAGATCATCAGTTTAAATCTCGTAAGATGGCATGCAGAAATTCTAAAATTAAAAATATGAAACCGTAATTTATGAAATAAAGAACAATTATGATCTAAAGGGTATCAAAATTTGCAAAAAGAAAAAGCTTAATATTTATTTGTTTACTTTATTAAACATTTCTTTCAATGTAAGTTGTTTAAGTGTTGCTTCGTTTCATGTGATATACTTTCTTTTCTCTTTAATTCTATTAAACAGACATAATTTCTTGTTCAGTTACAAGTTTCGCTGTTCAAGTCCTATAATTTGCTGTGTCGAGAACACCGACTAATTTGTCAATCGAAATTTTTTCGTTTTCAATAACCTCGCACTTTTCTTCGCTATCGGAAGCGAATTATAATGACGAGGAACTTGTTTTAAATCATATCAAGACGGAGCATATCGAGATGAAATACTACATTTGGTAAGGAATTATAAGCCAAATAAAATAAAAACATCTGCGCTGAAGATCAACTTCCAATTCATTACGTGCCCGCCGCGGCGTTCCCCCCGCTGAGCAGCGTGAAATTGATAAACAGATTTCGGGATTTCAAAAACATACTTTCGCTTTAGATCCTTTACATATTAACAAATATATATCGGAAATTCTATTTGATAATCGAAAGTTTAAGCTTACTTTTATAAAATTGCTCTTACAGTCTGCAAAAAATAATAAGCCGGATCCAATTCGAAAATTAATTGGAACAACGCAATCATCAACCATTAACTGAAATAGAATTAGATAATTTTAGCTTATACGTTCATTATACATAAAACGCGCACGCGAAAACGTATTCTGCACTTGCGCACACTCATATGCGCATTTTCGTAAAAGGTCTTACGCGCACGCGTAAACGCCTATGCGCATGTGTCAACGCGGCGCATGCGCAGAAAGTTTTTAGTTTTGAGGTCCAGATTATAGATCATTCCGAATTATGGGTGTCCGAATTAACGACTTTTGACTGTATAACTTAATTGTCTTGCTTGTCTGGGAGAGCCGTTGTCTAAATTTTGTTGAAAAGGTGAGAGGTTTGTGGTCCATATGAATGTTGAAAAAACTTTTCCTCTAATAAATATGTACCTAAAATGCTTTATTGCAGTGTAGATGGACAAGAGCTCTCGGTAATATGTGCTGTACTTTCTCTGTGTGTCAGTTAAGGAGCATGAGAAGAAACTTAATGTATGTATCTCTCCCTGGTCAATTTGATGAATGACAGCCCTGATAGCTGTATCTGAAGCATTGCATGTGAGAGATATAGTAGTGTCAGTTGAGGGATGAACCAGCATAGTAGCGTGACAAAGCGCATTTTTGAGGTTTTTTGAATGCATTGCAAGAATCTTCAGTTCATGTTAGCAGTATTTTACTATTTTTACATCTTCCACTGAGTAGTGAGGTTAGGAAAGAAGCTTGGTACACTTTAGGCTAAAGCGGTGATAAAAAAATTTATCATCCCTAAGAATCTGCACAAGCTGGTAACTGAAGTGGGTTGAAGTATCTTTCGTGTAGTCTCAACTTTCGGAAGAGATCTTATTCCTTCAGGTGTGATTTCATACCTTAAATAAGTTTAGAAGTGCCAAAAATACATTTTGCAACATTGTTGTATAAACAGTACTTACGGTGTGACTCTTCGTCTGGAGAAGTGATTTTTATGTCATCTAAATAATAGAATGTCAAGTGTAATCCTGATAGTACCATATTCATGAATCACTGAAATGTCTGTGCCACACTGTGTAAACCAAATGTCATGAATGGGAATTCAAACAACCCAAAAGGAGTTATAATGGCCGATTTTGAGATGTCGCTTTTGTGCAATGGAATTTGTTGATAAGCTCTAATTAATTCAATGGATGAAAAAATGTTTTTTCCATGTAGAATATACCCACAATCGGTGAGGAACGGTAGAGGATATCGATCAGGAGTTGATATTACTAAGAGCCCTGTAATCTCCACATGGCCTCCAGTCACCTGATTTTCTTTAATGTAAAATGTAGAGGACTGGCCCAACAACTTTTTGAAGGCCTGTAAAGACCTTCTTGCAACATAAACTCAAATTCAGCTTTTGCTGCTTTTAAATTTTCGGCGGAGAGTTTTCCCACCCTAGTGATAACATGAGTCCCCTTAGTTTTAATAAAATGTTCAGTGTTGTGGCTTTTGATTTTATCAATGACAAGTGTTGGCTGCAAAAGATCTGGAAATTGTTTGAGGATTACTTTGTATTGATTCTGTACTGCATGAACCATTGGTGAAACGACACCATAGGAAGGGTCACCAATAGAAGATGAGGAAGTGATGCCATCAGTTAGTTTGCGATTTTTGCTGTCAACCAAAAGGTGAAAGTGAGATAAAAAGCCAATACCTATTATTGGTTTATTACCATCTACTATGACAAAAGGCCAATCAAATGCTCCTCTCAGTCCCAAATCCAGTTTTAGCAACTTTTGCTCATAAGTCTTAATTTTGGTTCCATTTTGCAGCAAAGCGTTCCAGCTTTGCAGCAGCTTTTTTTCTTTCGATAATGGTGGAATCACGGAAATTTTGGTGCCAGTATTGATTAAAAGTTGAATGGTGCTCTCCTTGTCATGAATAAAAAGTCAACACATCCCTACCCCTCTACTCTCTGTCATCTGCGAGAGTCGGGGATTTAGTTTTCCTGCGAATGAACATTGGTTTTGTTAGTCTAATTGCAAGGTACTGCATTTGAAAGCCTTATCGCCAAACCTTGAGTGATAATAACATAAACTTTCATTTCCGCTACTATGCCTATTAATAGAATTACTTCTTGAGTAGGATCTGGATTGTTGACATCTAGAACATCTTTTATTCAATTCACTAACTTCTAAGGATAATTCTAAAATCTGCTCCTGTAATTTAACTGAAACATTGCCATCTGTAGGGCAAGCTACAGTGGCATTCTGATGTGACGTGGATTTTGTTTCCCACATTTTATTGGCCATTAACACCAATTTAGCTAAATCATTGCCTCTTATGGACAAAATGCTCAAGTTTGCCCTGGTTAATCTTTGAAGCCAGAAAGTTTTAAGGAAAGTTCACCTACTTATCTGAAGCTAAATTCTTCATTTTGCATAACAATGTGAAGGTTTTTCTATCACCCAATTCCTCCTCAGTTAATAATTTTTCGGTATTTTGCATTTTGGTTTCGGCAGAGATGGAAATTTGTCTGTCTTTAATAGCCACATACTTGTTGTCCCTTGGGGAGGGGGGGGTGATCAGAATGTCCGACATATGTGATAATATTTAAGCATCAATGGAACTCGCTACGTAATCGTATTTCGTTTGATCTGTCATAGTTGCAGCATTTCAAAATTGAGCTACCATTTGGAGAACCTACATCTTTGGGTTCGGTTTCCAAAATGCTGGGACTTTAATACTAACTCTAGTGATCGATGTCAAAGTGTCAGTTTTGTTTCCGCCTTCATTTGCCATTTTTTCTTTTTAATTAAGAAAGTCACATTCGATGAGTATTTTTACTTTAACACAAGCAAAGCAGCTGTAACTCGAGTATAATATCTTATTACTTTTTTTTTTTTTTTTTAAGAACCAGTACAAACTTATAAAAATTTTAAGGAATTAATCTGAATAAGGAGATTAATGCATCAGTCATTAGATATGATTAAAAATGTATCTCACATATTACGAACATTTGTCTACAATTAAAATTGTCTGCTATAGTTAAGTTAGATATCATTCTGTAAACAATGTCAGAAGAAGTTTATTATCTAACTTTGAAAATTTTCACATATTTTGCTTAATTTTTCATATCTCGATTTCAGTTGCGAGTTCAAAATATTTAACACTTCTTTAACTTACTTAAATTTTGCCTCTTTTTTTTTTTTTTTTTTTTTCTTTTTTCTTTTTCAATTCTTGAGTAATGTGTCTAGTAGTCACCAGTGAAGCGTGTTGCATAAAATCTAAAGTATTGTTAATACACTATAAAGAATGAACTTCTTTAAACAATTTTATTAACGAGAAAGCAGGCTTGGAACAAATATCAAGTGACCTTTTTAAAACGAAGTTCCAATGAATGTTTACCTTTAGAACAGTGTTTATGTGATGCAGTTTTACAAAAATTAAAACCTACAGAAATTAAAAATAAGATGAAGAGGAATGGTACATTATTTTAAAGTAATTTAAATGGTGTTATTAAACAAGTATTATAAAAATGTTAAAACAAAAATTCCAAATATTTAAAAATTGTTGAACACAGTTGCGAGCAAAGAGTATGAATGCAAAGATGATGGAATACAAAAGAATTAAAAGATATCTAAAAGAGAGTGCATCATTAAACCATTAATAGCAAATTATTGAATTAAATAATGCTTTGTGAGACTGAGAATGTATTGATAATTTTGATCAAATTTTGGCTAGTGAAATAGAAGCTAACATATCAAGCATAATACCTAACAGTAATATATCTATGCTGAAAAAAATGTGTTTAAATATTGATGATTTAAGATAGAAATAATTTTAATTCTTTTGAGAAAGTTCTCAACAGGTATTGTCACTTTTTTTTTTTTTTTTTTTTTTTTTTTTTATTCCTACATTTCAGCAGCTAATATTAAAAACAGTAATTTTCATTTGCCAAACAAGTGAAAATATCTTTGATTCCATATAGTGAATCTCTCATTTTCTTAACTCAGGTATGATAACAAGTGGAAAGATTAGTTAAAAAAATTATATAAATATACAAAAAAAAAATAATTATGTAATTGATCAGTTAATAGTTTCGGTACTTTCCAGTTATCTGTACACCTTTCCGAAAAAATTGCCAACCATTGATGACTACTGTTTCACTGAGCGAAGAAGCAAAAGACAACAACCATTTACAACAATTGTGGTACACTAAGCATTACATAAAATAGCAACCAATTAACAAAATTAAAAATGCAATAAATGTTCATAATGAAACATTTGCCTTGCCTCTCGCCATAAGTTCCCCCATTAGCTGTTTTCATATAAATGTGTGGGTTTTCTGGAAAACCAGTACCATTGTAAGAATGAATTTTGCCTCTAAGTATACTAATACTTATCACTGCCAATGAAACATTTGTTTCGCAATTAGTGTAATTCTTGATCTGCAATTGCAAACATAGTCGTTAACTTTTTTGTATTGGCATGTATGTAAAATGACTAACAGTTCAAATGATAACTTTACATTTTGTTGTTAGCTGTCATTGATAAGAAATTTATTGTAAAGAAACTCGTTGTAAAAAGTTTTTAACTGCTTTATTTTCAAATACATTATTTTTATTTTCTTATTACAAATAGATTTTTTTTTTGTCAGGTACACCGAAGTTTGCTGTTGAAGTAACAAAACCAGCTCCCGATTTTAAAGGCACTGCAGTAGTAAATGGGGCTTTCAAAGAAATAAAACTTTCTGATTACAAAGGAAAATATGTAGTCTTGTTTTTCTATCCTCTAGATTTGTGAGTATTTGTTGTTTTGTTTATTGTTCATCCAAGAATTACTTTTAGGGTGGGATGAGATGGAAATTTTCCTTATCAAGTAATAAACATATAGGAACTTGCTTTTTATGTGACGCTATAAGTATGATGATGCTCTTCAAGAATTATCGGAACTATCTTTAGAGTTGCAAAATAGCAGTACAGCACTTTTTCATGTGCATCATCTAATCTGTCTGCAGATATTGTTATTTGAATCAAGATTATCGAAACCTGGATAGTACACATCCAAAGCAGTAGAGTGCATTAGAAATTTGAAGTTCAAAGATGTAAACCTAAGCAAAAGCAGGAAATCTATCCCCAAAATTCAGTATTGGCAACTATATAGATATTTTGCTAGTTTAGTGAAGTGTAGAGTCTTGTCTGTTCATCCTCAAAACATAGGCTCTGACTATGAAAAGAAGTTAAAGTATTCAACATGAAATTTTGGCCTTTTCACCCATTGTTAAAATTTGTGCAAAATATTCTGCCTAAATAAATGAGAAACTAAAAGAAATATAGAGTTTTTGAATAGACTAATGAATAGGAAATAAATTCTGCATTATGGAAGCTTTTGTCATCAATAAACTGTTATCTGTTTCTAGTGCTGAGTGTGAGAAAGGATCTTTGACAATGAACTTAATTTGCATTCTGCAATGCGCATCTCTTCATGTTGAAACTCTAATTTAATGTTCATTAGATTCGATGGCTCTTCTCTCAAAAACTTTGCCAGCAATTTATGTACATTCGAGTTTAGCAACAGGTCATCATAGCATAGTAGACAATCAGTTGAAACAGTGAAAAGACCAAACAGAAGATCGGTATTTGACTGCATTGGTGAAAATATTTGTCATTCTTTCATGAACAATTAATACATAAGTTATTGATTAATGATTAACAATATTAGAAAAAAGAAATTCAAACAATTAAAAACTTATTAATAAGTCTGTCTGACAAAACTGTGAACTAATTTATCTGAATTCTGACTGTATTAAAAATTGTGTTTTTAATAATATTATCTATTGTTAACTAATATGAAAAAAATGCCTTTATTTGCATGTATTATGCTTCTATTTCATATTTCCAGCATTTGTTAACAGCTTAGTGAAATATTGCTTAATTTGTAATCTGTGCAATTCACATAATGTCTATAAACTTTTATTAAGTTCTGTGTTGTATTTTCATTAATATGATTTAGCATACTTTAATTATACATGTAATAAAATGTAAAGCTAAAAAATGTTATTTATGCTAATTTATAGCAATACTTACACATATTTATATTATTTAACCTTCCTTTGATTTATGCATTGGAAAAAGGTCTGATTAACCAGTTTTCCAATATGGCTGAATATAAGAATTGTTCTGATAAAGATATGTATAAATTCGAAATTTGAGTTGCTTTTCTAGAAGTATTGTTGCATGCATACAGTTTTGTAATGGATTGGATGCTCTCAGAACCAATGATAGCTTGATATTTTTTATTTTTTTTTTTTTTTTTTTTTTACCAAAAGAAACACTCTGGAACTTTCCACAGAAATTCTCATACAGCTCTTCACAGTATCACAAAGTACAACCACTAGTTACACTTCAAACTACTAAGAACGTTAAACACAGTGCAGTATAAAATGCATCTAAAAGGCAAAGCTCTCACGAAGATCTCAATACTCTGAATCAGCTCTGAACTACAAACTGAGAACAATGCTGTCTTGTGCTGTATATGATTTTCCCCTGCCTACTGAGAAATCTCTAGTATCTTCCAGTTCTTGAAATTACTGGAAGGCATGTGTGGTTAAAATTGCATATAAAGGCCTGATACGGTTATACACTATCTGGCCAGAAGTCCGGACACCCAGTGGTGTGGATCTGGAGAGTGCCTGACTTCCAGGTGTCCATTACAGCTAAAGCTAGTGCTGACAGTAAGGATGGTCAATTTGGCTGGCCACGTAATCTGCATTCTAATTTATCGCAAAGGTGTTTGTTCTATGGTATTTAGATTGGGGCTGAGAGAAGGCCAGTCCAGTTTTTGAATGCTTATTTCTTCAAACCATGGTTTCACGAGTCTTGATGTGTTAATGGAGCAATTACCCTGCTGGAACAGAAATGGGCCATCCCTGAAATATTGCCATAGATTTGGAAGGGCAGCATTTTTGAGAATGTCCACATACATCTCGGAGTTCATGTTTCCAACCACAGGAACTAGGGGACCCAGGCCAAAACAAAAAATACCCCCTTAATATGATGCTTTTACCACCAAACTTTACAGTTGGCAGCAGTGCAGTCACTTAAGAAGTACTCAATGGGCATATTCCAAACCCAGATGTGTTCATCAGACTGTAAAGCGAGACTACCACTCCAAAGACCACAAATCCTTCCCACCCAATTAAAATAGTTGCCCATCTGTTGCGAATTGTGCTAGATTATATGCTCTTCCCAAAATTTATAAAAGTGGTATTCCTTTCTACTCTATTGTCTCAAATTTAGGCACTGCCTCCTACCCCTTAGTTAAATATTTAGTTTCTAGATTATCCACTTTATTAGATAATAACATTTACACCATAAAAATTCAATAGATTTTATAAATAAAGCTTAAAACATTTCTCCTAGAAAATAACTCATGGTTTCTTTTAATGTAAAATTATTATTCACCACTGTTCCAGTGGAAAGCACATTAAAATGTCTAGAAACCAGACTTCATGAATTTTATTTCTCCTGCATCAAAATTGATGAGCTAATTTCCATTACTCAGCTCTATTTGAAACAAACACATTTTGTTTTCCAAAATAAGTATTACAAGCAAACCGAGGGATTAGCCATGGGAAACCCTCTTAGTCCCATGCATGCTGATATCTGCATGCATTATTATGAATTAAATTATTTGAAATTGCAAACTTCCCGATATGGTTCCATTACGTAGATGATACCTTTATCCTGTTTGATGGTAGTAAAGATGATTAAAATAAAGTTCTTTCAGTATTGAATTCCATTAATCCTGCTATAACTTTTGAACTCTAGACATCCAATTCTCTTTTGTTTCTCGACATTTTGGTCACACGTAACATATGCAACTTCAGTACTACTGTTTACCACAAACCTTCATTGGCCTTCTACCACACTTCAAATCATGTTGTAGAGACATTAGGTGTTTTTTGAAAGCATGAGTCATGAAAAATGAGCAATGCCTTCACCGGGAATCAACCACTACCCTATACAAACGCATGTTTAGAAGGCGGGAGAAATACCTTATATACTTCCCCTTTTAAAGGCCGACTGGGATTTAGGGGACCCAATTGTCAAATCCTGGGTGTGAAGAATCATCATCCACCACCCTTTCAGTTCGCACGCCACTGTAGAGTCATTAGGTTATTTTTGAAACTGGAAGAAGTGAAAAAAAAAAAAGCAATGACCTTCCCGGGAAACGAACCACGGACCTCTGGAATATGCGACTACACTAAGAAGGCGGGAGAAATACCTTATAAAGTCATCCGACTGAACAGAAGTTAACTTCATTTTATTTCTTTGTTTTCTATGTACTTCAAGTTTTCTTCTCTAAATTAGCCCTTGATCAAGAACTAAATTATTTAAAAGCAGTTGCTATTGACAGAGGCTTTTCACCCAACATTATTAACCAAACAGTTAAAATATTCTCATCTCAACACATCAAAAGGCACATTCTTGTTTTAGGACATTATAAGAATTCTGTTGTCACTCCTTTCTTTCCATCAATTAGATATAAAATCACACTTATTTTACAGAAATTTAACTTTTCGGTTTTTTTTTTTTTTTTCGTCCTATCAGTAAAATTCCCATTCCAAATATGAATTCCTGTGGTATTTACTGGCTTCTTTGGCAGGGTGGTTTAATTTACATTGATCAAACTAAGAGAGCCTTCCAATTTCTCATTAAAGAACATGAGTCATGAGTAAAAGAATCACAGAAGTCCTCGGTTGCCCAGCATTGTTGGTCCAAAAATCACACTTTTCATTTTTCTGCAGTCAAAATTATTCAAAAAACATCTTCCATTGGTGAATTAGATTGGGCAGCTGAGGAAGATGGTTGTGTAGTTAAAGGATCGAAAGTAGCACTGCAAAATTGACAGTTGCAAGTACAATTACTAGTACTGCAATTGCTGATTCTTGTTTGAATTCTCCAATAATCATTATTCGGCATGCTATTTTCACGTAAACTTACAAGGTTGTCAAAGGAGTGTGAGGATGCCACATATTACAGAAGAAATTCAGCATAGGATTAGGTATAATCTTGAATGTAGTCCACAATAATTTCCCTATGCTGTAAGTGTTCTCTAGTCAAAACTCCTATAATGCATAGAGGATGTGAGTCATTACACCTGTAGATATTCAGCCTCTTGCCAATTTTGCACACTGGTTCCTTCAGCAGATTGCAGCACAACCAGATTTTCTACACACCTTATTCAATGACAAATGCATCAAAATTTACACGTAAGGAAATTTTAATTACCATAATTGTTGTGTATGGGCAATCAGTAATTCACTTACAACATGTCCATATTTGCACTAGAAGCCCATGAGCAGCCAAACAGTAAAGGTTCTGAGCCCTGTAGTTTAACCTGGGTTCAATTCCAAGCAAATGGGTTGGCTGCAGGGGCGTTTTCATGATTTTCGCCATGTTTAACATAAATACAAGCCAGTTTCCCTTAGGAATTCCTCCACAAAGGCATACTTCCTGTTAGGCAGGCGAAGGCATCCCTACCCTTATAAAATTCTCCATGAAGACGTCTCTCCCAGATAAACCTCGAGAAAGCAGATAGCCCTAGTGTGCTTTGCCATAATTAAATAAACCAAACCCATTAGGCAGGTAGCCTCTTGTGTGCTTTGCCACACTCAAATAAATTAAACCATATCTGCATTTCTCAATAAATATTTAAGACTGAATCTCCCATGACCATTTCATTGCCAGCTCTTCCTCCAGGCCAGTGAGCAGGAGAATGAACCAAATATTTTTCAAAGAAATCTTACCAGGATTACTGCAAGAATTTTACCGTATATGTAATCCCAATGTGACAGAGAAATATCCCATTTCAGTGCTGATATGCAGAGCATATCGGATGTAATGCTGCTGGGATGATGGATTGGTCAGAGTGATTTTTATCGCTTGTCCAATATTATTGCCCAGTCTGTGCGCTCTAGTTCCTGCACTGAAGGTGTGAACCTTGTGTTCTTGTTGATGGCGATTTTTAGCAGTGCTTGTAATAATTTGAATTTTCATTGTTTGTCTCTCATTCTTGTGTTTTTTAACCCATATAATTTCACTGCTTGGGATAAGCCATGCATGATAGAAAAGTTAGACAAAAATGTTAAGTATAGTATTCTGTTTTTGTTGTAAATCATTCCCTTAAAAATCATTCTTTTCTTTATTTAAGTGAAATTTAAAAATTCAGATTTCATTGAATTTAAAAATTAATAGCATAATGTGTAATACCTTTAATATTCACAGTGTGACTCAAAACTTTATTGTTGAAAAAAATTAAATGTACTGTTACAAAATTTGGTCTAAGAGTTTTGAATCATCCTGTATTTTAAAGCAATCTTGAATTTTTTGACTTATTCTTCTGTAGAACTTGGAAGTACATCAAAATATATAAAGCGAAAAATGTGACTGCTACTACTTAATGTTTGGTTAGTTTATTTATACATATGTTTTGATATTTATAAAAAAACTGTTTCATGACAAATTACATTTTTATTACAGCACATTTGTCTGCCCTACAGAGATCATAGCCTTCAGTGAAATGGCTCCAGAATTTAAAAAATTAAATGCTGAAGTAATAGCAGCTTCAACTGATTCTCATTTCAGTCACTTGGCTTGGATTAATACCCCTAGAAAGGTACTGCCTAAACAACACTGTTATTTAAATAGCACTTTTGGTTTGTAGATATGTATGTGTGTTGGATAGATAATCACTGTTTTAAATGTGATCAGTATTTCACAGGACATTAACATCTGTATTATGCATCACATATGTAATCATTTTTTGCTAAGACTAAAACTGGGGAATAATGAGCTCTTGTTTTGGAGAGGTTTCATTGCACGTGTAAAGTTTTGTAAAAAAAATTTATGTGAATATAATAGTTCTAAATGTTGCTTCATTAGTCTTTGTTCTTTGCATTTGTTCACTAATCCAATGGATCTAATATGAAGCTGAACAATGCATTAAATATGTCTAGTGATGTTAGTTTGTAACATAAGTATATTGCATAAAAGTGATAATGACATTTAATTTTTATATTGAGAAACCTTTAAGTGCATTTCCTGCAGCAGCATGTAAAATTCTGACATTATTTTGTAACTAGACTTCAGGGATATGCAGTCAATCATTCCTTAAGACTGTGGTTAATTATCCCTTTAACCACAGTTTTTTACTTTCACCCCCAAAAATATTCATTTGGTGCATTTTCTCATAATCCATTTCCATAGTCAGTGCTATCCTGTTACTTGCTCGTTGATCATATCAGCAATCTGAATTCAAACACTGACTAACTTGAATAGTTGTTTGCTTGTTCTCTCATATGTATGTAAAAGTTTATTTCTCAAAGTCCCAGGATCTTGATAAAAGCTAACCCTGGTGCACATCTGAAAATCTGTCATCTTACACATGCTACTACCAAGGTTCAGTATCCTTTGGAGAGCTTAATATTATTATAGTTAAGTATCACTATATTACTCATTATTATTAGCTTGGTTGCTACTCAGAGTCATCAAAATTATTTAGTTCTCAGAAACAAACTTGTAATAAGCTCATGTATTTGCATCTCACAATAAGTCTTTGATACCATCTCCCATTTTTCAGTCATTACACTTTCATCTCTCTGCTTTCCTTTCTCTGTTGAGTTCCCTCTCCCCGTTTTTTACCTCATCAAACCATTTCTCAAGTTGCCTGGTGAATGTGCTAAGTTTTCCTTAATACAGCCTCCAAAAATGTCCAAGCAGTCAGTCATCAAGACTTTCATTATAACAATTTCCTTGAAGCCTTCCATGTTAAAAAATTTGCTTATTAATTAATAACAGTAATTATAATCTGTTTTTCCCTAAACTTTAATAAAAGTTTAATCATTTAGCTTTGATTTTTTTTCCTTCAATAAATGGAGGTTTTTTTTTTTTTTTTTTTTTTTTTTTTGCTTAGATTGCAAATATTTTTACCTATGACAGTCATTCTTGAAAATGAGAATTATAGGTAAAATCTTCAGAAACCTAAGTTTATCTTTCTTTGTGATCTTAATTTTGCAGTGTATTTCTTAATTCTAGAATGTGTACTAAGCTTGTGGTACATAAACATTCAGCTGATTAACCACAAGAGGGCTGCAGGTAAATATGTGTCAAAGAAGATCTCTTAACCTTGAACTTTTAATATTCCTGAAAAACATATGTATCAGTCTGCTGATCTAGAAAAACATGGATAGAAAATTTAGTTTTCAGTATTCTGTAGCTAGGCAGTTAAAAAATCTAAAAAATGAGATTTGCTCTCAAATTCTAAAGTGTGGTTTTGAAAATTTCTAAAGTCACCAAGTTGATCAATTCATGGAAAAGAAAAGGAAAATGATAATTAGAGACAAGCTGTTAGTAGATAATAATTTAAAATGATAAGTTGAATAGAACTAATAGAAATTTACTTTTTGAAAAATTAGGCCTGAATACAAAATGTATACACATTATGCGGTAATAAGTATGCTGACTATACATTGTGTACATAGCACACATGCGGTGAAAGGAAAATAGTCAAAGCAGTTGTCTGCTTACATCAGCTGCAATAAGTGAATTGAACTGAGTTTTTATAGGCTTCGCAACTCAAATCCACTAGAGCCTGAGTGGTAAAAATCACTGCAGGCAGTTTTATATAGACTTGAAATTCCGGAAAACAGCCTGACTGCACAGTTTCGGGGGTTCTTCTCATGGGTAACATTTTCCCTTCAAACGCCTTCTGTTTCTTTCTAATCTTTTATGATTTTTTTTATTTTATTTTCTGATTTTTTAAATTTATTATGATTATTTTATTTATATATATTTTTTATTATTTTCTGCTTGTTTTTAATGTTCACTTGTGTACTTGTGTTTTGTCCACATTTGTTAAGTAACAATGCACTGCGGTTTCCATAGTTTTTTCAATGTGTTACATGTATACAAGCTGATTTCTTAAGCAAATTTTCAGTAAAACACACCATTGCTAAGGCAAGTAGCTGTTTCGTGCGTTTGCCTTAACTGATTAACAAACTATCTGACTCCATTGCTGGCTGACTGGCCAAACGAATAAAAATCATCTTGGCTATGATTGTTCCCAGGCTACTAGGCTGGCACGTTTTGGCTATACTCCACCCTCCGATTTAACAACTAATTGGTGTCTACTCTGTGATATTACTTGACTCGCAGAACAGAAAGAAACAATGACATATTTAGTTTCCCAATTAAAGTGTATGACAGTTTTATAACAATATTTGATACTAATTTGAGTAAAATTGCAGTAAGTTTATTACTAATGCCATTTAGTAAAAAATATAACATTTAGTAATTATTACATAAAGACTAAGGGAAGAGGAATTAGTTACAGCTTCTCAAAAAAAAAAAAGTATCATATGATCAGTTTTTACAAAGAAGCAATGGAGTTTAAAACTGAAAATGTTATGTGCTTAATCCACTTTGAAGATGCTGATTATCAAAAGGATTTGCAAAATGAGCTTTTAGGAATTAAAATTAAAAAAAAAAATAACCTCTATCCATTGTCCAAGTATCTAAAGAAAGTCAGCAGAACGATATGAATGTCAAAGGAAAGTAGAAGTAAAGTCTATTAAAAACATTGACATCATGTATTGGTAGTAGTGATGACGGTAGTCAAGGAATCTGTAAAATCATTAGAGTACAATCACTGTTTACCAGAAATAGAATACCTCAAAGAAACTGTTACCTTATGAAACAATAAAATGTTTTTGAAGAAAAACAGTGTTAGAATTTCTCAGAATGAATCTTTGAGGGGAAAAAAAGAATCCTTACTAAACAGACTTTTGAGAAGTAATATAAAGAAAGGTTAGAATATTTCAAAATTTTATACCAAGCCAAATGAAGTTATTTGGTGCTAAGCAAGTTATAGAGAGTTTAAAATGTATTGTCACTGCAATCACCTTAAGGGCTGTATCAGAAAAAGCATGCATTCACTTAAAAAAGATCAAGTGACAGTTCCACTACTAAAGCTATCAGCTCTGTGAAAGTACTAATTGTTTAAGCAATGTTTTTCATCCAGACCCTGCCATGATACCTCATAAATTTGTGAGGATTTTATATAGGTGAAGAAAAGTTGAGCTTAAAGAAACAAGCTATTTATTACAATTTTGATTTAAAAATTACAGTGTAAATGTACTTTAACTAAGAAGATATCAAACATCCACTGTTGGCCATAATATTAGATTTAAGGCCTACAAGTTGTACATTATGGGAAGTCTTAAATATTTCCATTTACGTTTACTCATTCTCTAATCGTAGTTGCAAGAGTAATATCTTTCCCATTGTATCTCATCTTATCAAATTGTTACACAGTCATTTACTTGAAGGAAACTTATAATTGATGGGATCTACAGATTTGAAAAAAAGATTGAAAATCATTATATAAATTGACAGATAAGCACTGTGAGGGTATAATATCTGAAAGGCGAGTTAATTATGCTAGTGAATTATTCTCTAAAAATGTTGTCAATCATTAATTTTCAGAAGATGCATTCACCAGTTTCTTGATATTATGAATTGCCATTGACAATTTGCTGATAGAATATTTTGTAGTGAATTAAATACACACCTTGATAAAAAAATAATCCTGATATGTGAACTATTTTCATAAATGAAAGTAAATGAAAATGTTATTTTTAACAAGGTTTATTAATTACCATCATGCCAGTGAAATCATTATACTTCTGTCTTTAAAATAGCTCTTGAATTGCATATCTTGACTCATAGACTTAATCTGGCTATTCTAGAAAATTTCTTTAAAGAAATCGGCAGCATTGGTCACATTTATGTTCTGGTACTTACGTATTATCGCAACCAGGTTGGCGCGATTTGTAAGTTTGAGTAAAAAAGTATAAATAGAAAGAAAATGTACATTTATTAATTACAGATAATTTTTTACATTATTTTGTTTTAAAATATAAAATAGCAATTAAACCCTTCCGGTTTCGAATTTGAATAAGTTGCAGAATTATTTTTCGGCGGAAATCTTTTGGCTATTGCTTTTAGCACTGATTGAAAACCGTCTTCGCCATTAACAGCTTGAGCTTGGCGCCATATAAATTCGATAAGGTATGAGTCAAGATGATGACGGGCTGTTCCTCTCTGTTTTTTGTTGCGCCATTTGGCTGAGCCCCACATGCGCTCTACATGTTGTGTGTGAACGCCCGTGTTGGATCCACAAAGTTATATTTGTGATTAACAGTTCCATGCAGAAATCCAGCATTTTCGAACTCACTTGTATTGTATCCTTTCCAGCAATCCGAATAAATGATGCTTCCTTCCTTGATATTTTCGCAAATTTTTTCCATGAGGGTAACGGCGCTTCTGTTAGGTACAGTAACCGAAAAAGTCTCTTTCTTTTCTCGGCAAATTCCGTCGAAAACCCATTGCTGTGGTAGTACACGCCCAGTGTTATTTTTCTTTTTACAAATAAATTCTTTACGTTACAAAACGTAGGGTTGCCGTAAGTAGGGTCGCCAAAATTGGCGATTTATGCGAATTTTGGCCTGTTAGCGTTAATACGTAAGTACCTATGTTCCTACTGTTCCTGCAGAATTTATCAGTAGCTTAAGATTATTTATAATAAAAAAATTTCTCAGAACACTGAGTGAAAATCAAAGTGTAGAATGCAAAAAAAAAAAAAAATTGCCAAAATTATGAATTTCTTTCATTAAGTATTTTTATCTCCATTTATTTTTAATGTGTTGTTTCCACCAAAGAAAAAAGAAATGAAATTAAAACTTGAAGAATTACGAAGTACAAACAGTTCTACAATGTTCCAAACTTGTATGTTCATATGATCTAGTTCAGTGTATCAAACACTGCACTAGATCACTTAATGCACCACTCATAAATTTTAAAAAAATGTTTGCCCATTTCTTGCTCAAAAAAAAAAATGAACAATTGGATTTATCCACCAAAATAACAAAGCATTGCATGACTGGATAACAACAACATACTGAAGAGAATTTATATATATTTCAGAAGAGTGACTGAAAATCCTTCATGAATTGGAAAAAATATCATGAAAATGAAATTAGGAGTAACTTTTAAAGGATAGCTGTAAATAGCAGAAAAGAAATAGCTTGAATTTTATTAAAACAAATTGGTTTGAAGTATGCTGAATAAGTCTATTGAGCAGTTCTTACCTTCTCTAAACAAAAAATGATAAAAATGTTAAAAGGTTAGTCCAATTCAGGTATGGCATATTTGAAATGTTCACTTTAAATTTTAAATTAGACTTCAATTCCTCATTTCAGAGTTAATAGTGAAATAACTTGCTTGAGATATGAATATATAAAGATTTGAAATATAATGAATATTTTTTTATTCACTAAAGTGCCTGTCAGGACTGATGTTACAAGGACTTAAAGCAGTAGTTGCTTTGGAATAGCTACATACTTAGGAACATGTCTTGAGCTAAATTTTTTGTGAAGAGAAGCAAACCTTGCAATTTTTGAATCATAATTCAGTATTTTTTGAGTAAGTGATGTGCATTTTAAAAACTAGTATGTATTTTTTATTTATTGCTTTTACAAGGAAGTTTGCAACCTAACATTGTTTAGTATTTCTAAATGAATGATTATGTAATCTATCCTTGACAAATCCTTTCGAAGTTACTGCTTTTCTTCTTCCTAGTGAAGAAAAGATTTGTCTGTGCATAGTCTCTTAAACTGTGAAACAAATTGCTTACATTTTTTCCCTCATATTATTGAAGGCTATGTCTAATAAATAAATTTAAATGGATATAAACATGCAGTGTTTTTTTTTTTTTTTTTTCCAAAAATTTGCTTCTGTTCAATGTTTTCCTCATTTTATAGAAAGGAGGCTTAGGATCATTAAACATTCCTCTGCTGTCAGATTTCACCAAAACCATAGCTAAAGATTATGGTGTTCTTCTTGAAGCTGGCATGGCTTTGAGGTAAGTTTTTTTTTTTTTTTTTTTTTTTTTTTTTTTTTTTTTTTTTTTTTAGTTTCTGACACTGTTTATCAAATTATGTACAAAATGAAAACTTCGCTGTCAAATGTAGTTCCTAATACTTTACCGCATAGAAAATTTTCTGCTGAAGTTAAATGCCTAAACTTGGGTATAATAGATATTTAATTTTTTTTCACAAAAGGCAAACAAAACAATGCAACAAAGGAACTGCTAGTAATACCCACAGAAGTTGAGCTTTACCGTAAGTGCTGAGTATGTTATTTTTTAATGGTGCACTAATTACTGTCTAATGTAACAATGCAGCTGTTATTCATACAAGATTCAGCATAAAGTAGGTTACTGTGTAAATCTGGTACTTAAGTAAATTTTCTAATTTTATGTGGCTGATAGTACTATGAAGTTCAAAATAGCTTTCACTGATACCAAGAGAAATTAATTTGGCACCATTGGCAGTAGTTACTCTCTGCTTAATTTCATTTAAGAGGAAAAAAATTGATATCACTCGCCATATGAATTTAAGATCTAGAATCAATTAGCCGTTTATGCATTTTTGATCCGTGTACGTGTTCTAGTTCTAAAATTTGATTTAACTCAGCTTGCAGATTGCTAGTTTTAACTCTTTCCGTAAGACATTTATTGCTTTTCCTCGGTTTGATTTTATGTTTTCTGCTCTTTCCATGTTTGCTATTTGGCACGTGTTACTTACATGATCTTGAACAAATTTTCCTAATTTAATTTTATTTGCATCTGTTTTTAATGAAAGTCACTCCATTTTATATGACAACACTCACTTCTAAAGTACTTCAAAAAGTATAGTATCTTTCAATATTTATTTTGATTCATGATCATTCTTGCTTTTCAAAGCAATTTAATCATACTTACAAAATTTCTTGTTTTGTGCATCTACAGTATTCATTCATAGTAATTTGTTTTTAACATTCTAAAGAGAATTCAGCTTCTGACTTACTCTTAGTAACAGTTAACATACTGTCATCAAATTATTTTCCTTAATTTCTTCACCTATACTGTGCAGCTTTCCAGCCCTGAACTGGTTACTGACTGAACTTACTGTTAACTGGTCTTAACTTACTTCACTTTGACCGATTTACTGTTTTAAACATGTATGATAAGCTTTTGAGTTTTTTTTACCATTCTTTGACTTACTGTCACTAACCATTTCAGATTTTACTTCTGATGTCACTTTTTTTCCCTCCTTCTTTTATTTGTTCAATTTTAAACCTCCATATAGAATAATTTTCATCACTCAGGTTTTCAGTTGCCTTTGTGATATAATTGAAAGCATGTCTGGCTAAAAAATCGGAGGTCTGGATTTCAAACTTCAGTAAGAGCATTGAAATCGCCAAATCTAATCACTGTAGAGCTGCAGTAATGAGAAACATTTTTAATGCCCCTTGAATCTTCCTACAGTATACATTCTGTTCGACTTTCAAATTTTTAGTATCATTTCCATGAGCAGGTATCTTAAACTTCAGTTGCATAATCATTGATATGCATGCATTTAAACACGCTATTAAGGCATTGAGAATTATAACCTCTAACATGGGTAAAACAGAGTAGCACAAGCCATAATTATAGTTTAACATTAAGAAAAATAAGCTTGAGTTTGAAAGCAAAGTGTAATTTCAGAGCAATAAAAATAATTAATGAATAAATGTTTAAAATACAGGTAACAGCATAACACAGTTCTGTTGTATATAATACAATTTCATATGTTTTAAGGCACTATACATGCTGCAAGAAAAATTCAGATTGGCTCACAAATTTGTTCTTACCAATTTTATACATCTCTGGGGAACATTCCATTGAGTTTCATTGTGCAAAATACCAAATTCCATTAACAATGGGATCCTTTTTCAACAGTTATGAGTTGCCATTTCTGTTGGAATTTCACTAATCATGCTTAGATTTCTGTTAACCTTTGTTGCAGTAATATTCTCATAGATAGCTGTTGGTGTAATTAATAGAATGCAACGAAATTATATTTGGGAGATCTCAGAAAAATTTATATCAGTGTCAGTTGTTCATGAAGTATGATTGTACATTTCATTTAAATTCATAAATGTATGTTTAATAAGGCAACTTTTCTGTGACGGGTGTGCTAATTGCTTTAAACTGGAGCAATATATACTGCACCAGATTACATTTCATTTTGAGAACTTGTCAAAATGAGGTATAATATATGCTAATACTAATCTTTTTTGGGCACAGTTTGCCCATTGTTGCTCCATTTTGTGAAGATTTTTAACAATACTGTACTCAACGTAATCAACCAGTTGTGCAATTGAGGCTTGTTGCTCTGGCACTGGGAGTGAAACCATTTCAAGGTGGTGATAAATTCGTAATGACAGCCCATTATAAGAAATTGCTGGATACTTGTTCACTGCAAAACAGGGCTCATAACCCAGAATTGGGTTGCAAGAGTCTCTGAGATGAGGTGCCATAGTCTTAGAAAAAAAAATTTTCCTTAATTAAAAAATTTTAATTCTTCTCTTTACTTAATTATTTTTTATTTTAGACTAAACTTTCTTCAGTTTTAGCATGTGGTAAAACCTGAAATTGTGTACATATCTGAAAAGTGAATATGAGCTGTAGTTGTTTGAAGGTAGCCAAAAAAATGTGTTTGGTGATCAATCCTGTCCCATGCCTGGACCTCACCACTGATAGGTACTATTTGTCTGAGTGGTGACACTTTGAGGCAAACAAAAAATTTAGAAATTCCTACTGATTACCAGCATTGCTTGTTCTAGCCATTAGGACTGCAGGAAATTTCACATCATTACACTGTACAACACTATTTCAGTTATCTATCTGCCTGCACTATGATCTATTGTTTTTGTTCTTGCTACTGCATTGTGCTTTTTATATGTGGTATTTTATCATTGCTGAGTGCTGATTAGTGTATCAACCAGACATTTGCTGTATTATTTGTGTGAGTTTCACATCTCCTATATATGGCTAAATGTGATATATAGGAGATGTGATATATAGGAGACAATTTTATAAATTTACGTTTCACCTTTGTAACAAACTAAGAAGCAGTAAAGCCGTAATGTGTTGTCTGTGGTAAAGTACTTGGCAATGACTCACTAAAATAGTTAGAAAGGCATATGGAGACTAAAAATAATGCTTTATTTACTAATATTTTATAAAGAAAAAATATATCAGCTGAAAGAAAACTTATTTTTCTGCACATTTGGAATTCCTTTTAACACGTTCATGCTGATGCTGGTTTTTTTTGTTTTTTGCTGTGGAGCAGCACATGTATCCATGCATTATTTCATCTGGCAGTGCTGCTTTTTCTGTTTCCTGCTAACATTCTAATATAACACCTGTACTTGATTGTGTGAAGTTTCACCAGAGGTATTTTTATAACATCTAAACCAAGTGTCTTTAATGTATTTCCAGTTACTCGTTTAATTATTTATATACCTATACCGGTTTATACTGAACCATTAAGTGACATTTTTTTATCTCTACCAGGCTGTTCTTCAATAATCTATTCACGATTACAACTTTGTGTTGAAAGCTATATAAAACTCGCCTGATGGAACATTCAAGTATGAGCCAATTTTGGTACATGCCACCCAATAGAACATTCAAGTGTTAGTCACCTGTGGTATTTGCCGCCCAATTGAACATTCGAGTGTAAGCCAGCAGTGATACATTTGTTTGATGGAACATTCAAGTGTAAGCCATTGGTGGTACACATGCCCGATGTGAGCCACTGGGGGGGCAGGTAAATGCCACTGGATGGAACATTCAAGTATGATCCACCAATGCTACATGCCACACAATGTACCATTCAAGAGTGAGCCACTGGTGGTACATGCCTGCCTAACGGAACATTCAAGTGTGAACCACCAGTGTTGCATGCCATGCGACAGAACATTTAAGTGAGCCACCAGTGGACATGCCATCATGAATGTGTGCGACACATTGTTGCATTTATAAATGGAGATAGATTGATATTCTATAGTTTAAATTATTTCCCTAAGTGTCATGCTAGTAATAAATCATTTTAATGTATTTAAATACCTTTTTCAATTCATAATAAGTAACTTGTATTTTTTCTTTTCAGTTTTTGTAATCTTTTTGAATACTTTTAATGTTTTGCAGAGGGACATTTATTATTGATCCAAAGGGTACTGTTCGACATGCATCCGTTAATGACCTACCTATAGGACGATCTGTAGAGGAAACCCTCCGTTTATTGAAAGCTATACAGTTTGTTGAAAAGCATGGAGAAGGTACAGTTCTTTCTATGCAATTATTGTACTTGCCTGTTTGAATAATGTGAATGGTGTAATTAGTCAAGTGTCATTTTTGTTTCTCATAAAAATAAGCTGTAAAACAAACCATTTAACCTAAAACTATTGACATAGTTTTTGAGATTTTATGCATTTTGTATTGAAATTTCTATACAGTAATATCATATTTCTAACAATATGTCAATAGAGTCAGCTCCTTAGCATGTTTGTGATTTTGTTTTAAAATGCTTATGTTTCTTGCTTAGCAATATATATCTACTTTGGCTCTTCTTAATGATACTTCATTTTCAAGTGCATATAGTGCTGCTGTTCTATTAAAAAAAATTAGACTTTTAATTATTTCTTTAAATTCAGTTTACAAATTTTATTCATCATTTATCAGTATACTTTGTTAACATATTTTAATTTTTCCAGTTTGTCCAGCAAATTGGAAGCCAGATTCTCCTACAATCAAACCTGATCCCAAGAATGCAATGGAGTATTTTGAGAAAATGAATTAGCTTTTTTCCTCTCAGTGTTGTATAAAATTGCAGATTTGTAAAATGTGCCTTTTTCATTGAATAAAATATTGTTAACTGTTTCCCTCTTGTGTAACTCTTCATATAGCATTTGATCAAGGACTAGATTGCAAAATACATAATGTGTTCATTAAAATACTGAAAGATTTTGTCATATATTTGCATTTTTGTTTAAACATATTTGTGTCTTAAAGTATAGTACAAGGGATTCTGCATGTCCTGTTCTTTCTAATATAGTAATACTGTAAGCTACCAGAATAAATCTTCCAAACTTGAATTATAAATTGGATTTGAAACCACAGCTAGTTCTATGCATTCACAAAGACTATCAGTTAAAATTAGCTCTTGGATAAATCTATAAATTAAAAAATAAGTATTACTTTTTATTGCCAAAGACAAATTTTCTTACAAAATATATAGCAGTTGGAAATTTTAGGAAGATGAAAAATAGTGTTGCCAAGTAGCCTACTAAAAAATAATATTGAATTTTTAAAACTGTGGCTGGTTCTATGCATTCACAAAGACTGTGAACTGCTGAATTTATCTATAAATCAAAGAATAAATATTAATTTTTTTAATCACCAAAGACAAATTTTCTCAAAGAATTTACAGTATTTTGAAATTTTACAAAGATGAAAAATAGTTTTACATTTTCAAAGAGATTGTTAAAAATGTGCAAGATTAGTAGAGTATGGATAATTCAAGCTTATTTTTGGATGTAAGCTGACAAAACGTCTGTCTTTGGAAAATTCAACATGGTAAATTTAATAATTTTTTGTCTTCTGTAAATATGCAAAGAAAAGTTTTAAAAAAATGTGCTGTAACGTTATTATTTAATAAGCAACCTTTTTTCATTATTGAAGTTATATAACATTTTCTGCATATACATCAGGGCTTTACTTTTGTAGTAAAGATGGTTGATGAGTCTGCAATTTTTTGTTTTAGATAATTCATTATGCGTATTCTAATTTTATATGCATTAAATTATGCATATACTGATATCTTAAGAGTAGGTTTAGCATGCTTATTAACATACAATATACTTGAAGATTTAAATGTGTATACATTGCACAACAAATTACAAACTGTTCCAAATATGTACTTATAGGCTGTGTGAAAATATACTCATAATCGTGTCATACTGAAAAGTGATAAATCATTGAATCTCTGTCTTATTTGTTTTTATACTTGAGGCCTTTTTATTCCTGGTTATATGAAGCCACACTCTCCCACTTGACATTTTACATTTGCAGGATTAAACATGCATTACATATCAACACTAGGGTTTCAAATTAATGAGCAATGGTTATTGCTCGAAAAGTTATTCCAGTGTGATTGATAAACTTTGAGGTTAATGTAAGAAAGTGTAATAACATATAATTTTTGTAAGTTGAAAGAGAAAATGGTAGTTTAGCAGCTTGAAGATGTGTTATTGTTTACAGTTTTGATAAAATCATTTATGGTATAGATGCTTATATAAATTACTGAAGTGCACTGCATTTCATTTAACTTATTACATTGCTTATCAAAATTAAAGGAAAGGATAGTGAGGAAAAGAATGCTGGGTGATAAGTTTTCAATCCAAATCCGATGGTGTAATTACACTAGTCATCAAAATTAAACGATGATGACAGAAATAAAACGTAACTGATACTTAAAATTAATAGAAATTTGTACAAAAATATTAGTTAACATAAATTACAATATTTGACAGCTGATTATTCTCAAAATATTTAAATTAAAACCAAATTATGGAAAATGGAAAATGATAGAAAAATTAAGTCACTTTTTGTGCAAAAAAAAATTTAATATGGTCACCTCGGACAGGTATGCATACTTCATAGCTTGATTTCGTAGACTTTACCAAAGCGTTGACCAAGTCTTGTGGAATCGTATGCCATTCTTCTATAACTGCACTTTTCAGCTCCTGAAGGGTTCAGGGAGGAATTTGCCGCCTTAAAGCATCCCATGCATGCTGAATCGGGTTCAGGTAGGGTGAGTAAAGTGGCTAGTCCATTCGAGTGATAACTTGTTTTTGCAAGTATTCTGACAACATTTATGCTCGACGAGGCCGAACATTGTTATCCATTAGCAACAATTGTGGGCCAAAAGCATGCCTAAAAGTAAATTGGGGTTTTAACACCTCCTCCACATATCTCCCAGAGATTGGAAACCTTAAAAGATATGCGGCCATTTATCATGGTTTCTCCCAAACCATTAAACCACTGTCACTGAAATGGGATATTTCATGAACAAGGGAAAGCAAGTTGCGTGTTCCTTCCTCTGTCCAGATCAAAACATAGCTAGAATTACTGTTTAGTTTGTATCTGGACTCGTCAATAAACAATACTCGAGCCCATACTCGTCTTGTCTCCATTGAACATGACGACAGCGCCAGTTTAAACAGGCCCATTTGGAAGTTGAAGTGAGTGGGACACAAACCATTGGTTTTCTCACATGCAGTCCAACCTCGGTGAGCCTTCATGCAGCAGCAGAAGGGCTAATTTGAAGTCAAAAAGCAAATCATTTGTAGTCGCTTCGCGGTTTTTTCGAGCCGCCAACGACAGAAAAAGGCCTTCTGATGCAGCTGTTTTTCTTGATAACTCTTCACCAAGCTGTCTATCAACAGATCCAGTGCTTAAAGAGCGGCTTCGAACTCTTGAAATGATACTTTGAGGGATATTCAAATCTTGGGCGATCTCCACGTGTGTTTGACCTTCCTCGGTTCTACCAATTATTTGCTAATTTTGACCTTCACTTAAATGATGTCTTTGTGTCACAACTGCTGAATACTGATCACTCTCAGAAACCGCATTCACTTTAAACAACCCCACAGACCGGCATTCCAATAGGCGTCTATTGCGCACCCCATTGTCAATCACCGAATTTGCATATTTCCGGCGCTAACTTATGCACGGAGTGCAATATTGTGTTAAATTCTATGTAATTAACATAAATAATTACAGCCTTGGGCATTGGTTACAACATTAATTTAATGAGCATATTTTTTCCTCATTATCCTTTAATTTTGATGATCGGTGTATTTTATGTTAACTCTGCAAATGAATGTACTTAATTTCTGCACATAAGTTAGCATATGCATGCAAATTGGTGTCTGACTATGTGTTGAGCAGTGGACGCATGTTGGAATTCAGCTGCACAGTGTTATTGAAAGAAGATAGTATCTGAGAGAGACAGATATATTTATCTGTTATAACTTAGATATTGTAGTGTTGACTACTGATATTCAAACTGAATTATAATTAGGAACAGCAAGAATCACTAACAAATAGCTACATTTATTTTTCAGCTATCAAAATGAGCTCCTACTTGAATAACAATAACAATATAATCACATTTGAAGAAAACAGACTCACTATCACTATTTCTTGCCATTCAGCATAAAAGAACTATAAATACGAATATTGACAAAACATTAAAGCTAATTTTACTAAATAATTAAACACATTCAAAAATATAAAATACTTGAAATAAAAAATAATTATTACTCATGCAACAACTGGGCCACTGCACTGCTCCCCACCAGTAACTATGGTACAAAGGTGGAGAAATAGGTAGTAACTAGCATTGCAGTGTTGACCACTGTCAGGAGAATTTAGACCAATCCTTGAATCTAACAGGTGAACGTATAATTCTACCAAGTGCGAGACTGTTTTTGATCCGCATCTGAATTTATTACATTGCTTATCAAAATTAAAGGAAGAGTCCGGTCTCTGCAATTTGCAGTTGTCTGGTTTTGTTAACTGAGAATTTTCCTGAACTAAAGTATAAGTTGGTTTCAAGCGATCCAGAGATACATTAACACGTTTTCCTTTTATGCTAGGCCCACCAGCGGCCGAGCGGTAAAGTCGCTGAACACTGGTAGTTCGGTCCGAGGTTCGAATTCCGCAAACGGGCTGGCTGCATGGGTGTTTTCGTGGTTTTCCCCATGTGTAATGTGTATACGAGCCAGTTTCCCTTAGAAAGTCCTCCACGAAGGCATCCCTTCCCTTAGGCAGATAGCCCTAGTGTGCTTTGCCGTAATAAAATACACCAATACATACCTTTTATGCTAATTGTAAAATATTTATCTTTGCGATCAATTACAGGGAACGTTCCTTCATAAAAAGCTTCCAAAGTTTTTTTCACCTGATCTATTCGCTGAAACACATGAAAACAGGTTTTAAGTCTTTATGTCAAATATCCACTCAGATGAATTTTTACGAATTTATCTGGGTCCGACGGCTTCCATTTGTTTTTGGAGTTTAGCAAAAGTCTCCGATGGTGTCTGGATACATGGTTCGCTGAAAAACTCTCCAGGAAGTTTGAAACTCTAGCCATAAACTAGACTCATGAAAGAAATTAACAGAATTTTCATATTTGATCTACGATCTCCAGAAATACTGGATAGATTTTAATAAAATTTGGTGTGAACATAGGTTGATATAATACAAACAAAATAAACATTCATCAGTTACAACAGACACATATGTTCGTGTGTAACACTCATGGGAGTCTGAAGATCTGAAACAGTGGTTGCAGAAGACACAAAAGAAATGGGTTAATAAGGGGTATGGTCCCCTCTTACAGCCATATAGGCCTCGCAGCATGATGTCATACTGGAAATAAGGCAGTTTCCAGTGCCTGTGGCAATTGGTCCCACTCATTCAACAACGCTGTTTTCAGTTCCCGGATGGTTTTCGGAGGGGATTGCGAGTTGCAGTTGCCCTCTCCAGAGCATCCCAGACATGCTCTATAGGGTTGAGGTCTCGAGACCTGGCTGGCTAATCCATCCGGCGAATATCCTCACTGAGAAATTCGTCGACCAGAAGAGCTCTATGTGGCCTCGCGTTATCGTCCTATAAGATGAACTCGGGGCCCACTGCACCCCGGAAAAGGCGAACATAGGGCTCCAAGACCTCATCCCTATACCTCACACCAGTCACAGAGCCTTTGTCAAAGACGTGAAGAGGTGTGCGACCATCCAACATGATGCCTGCCCAGACATTACACCGCCACAATTGTTGATTTCGCGGACATTGGAGGGTAGGTAGCGGGTCCC